GACCAGAGTGGTTCATAAGTAGGAGCGATAGACTCGCCAATGAACACCTGGGATACGCGATATAGCTGTGCCGGCTACGAAATGAGAGAAGGCGTGACTAACCGATATCATTCTCTTACATCCGACTTTCCTTGTATCGATTATCTTGTATCATAGCCGGCACTGCTGTACACGCATGCCCTGGGGACGGACTGCCGGAAGAGCCGCAATCTTGTAGGGGCAGAGCAATGTGGCAGGACGCACACCGTAACCCCCTGCCACCCTAGTAGTGCAGCCGCCTCACCCTGTCTTTTGCGCATCCGCCGCTCCTGTTTTGTTGGGTGACGATAAAACCACACCTGCTGTACCGCACGCTGGACCCCGGACGCGAAACCGTCGTCTTGGGCGAGAAAAGGAAGGGGGGGGGGGGGGGGTCACTCGACTTTTGCTTGTATTGTGGCGATTCGGAGTACCACACACACCGAACAGGACCAATATGCATACACCGGTACGTGAGTAGTGAGGCACTGGGGGCGAAACAGTTACAACTCGCAACCCTGAGAGTCTGTCTCACTTTTGGGGCTTATCGTATTTTACGGTTGGGTTTCAGCTGTTCGTAATCACGCCGTACCCTGTGCTATCCCAACAAGAGCCAGGAACGCTGCTGTACAGTTACGACAGGCCATGACTGGTAGAGGCTGTTCGTGATGGTTTGTCTCAGTAAATGAGTGGTAACCTCGCTCCTGGTTGTTCATGTCGTAAACGAACAAAGACACGTTTTTGGCAACACTCTCTGCCGCTGTGCGAACGCAGACAACATTCACTAGTTATTGTTTGGCGCCACATCATGTTCACGGATAGGGTTAGATAGGGTAAAACATGTCCCCGTCCGGGTTTGCTCACTTGCGGGAAGGAACGACGAGACTCGCCCCCACAGCGGTTTTCCATCGCCGCCTCGCACTCTTGTTACCCCTTGGGACTGCTGTCGTTCCTACCTCTTAACTTTTTTGTTTCTGTTCATGCTGCTTGAAGGCAGCCTCCAACACGTTCTGCCGCTTGTTTGGACACCCATCACCGCAGTGCCGCTGTTACGGCTGATTTTTGCGGATGCTGGTTCGCGCTTCTATCCTTAGTTTTTCCGTCTGCTCCTAACCATGACGTGCTGTGTGTATGCTCTGATTTTTGTTTGTCGTCCACCGCTATCGCTGGTGATGACGTCATATCTTGTCGACGATGGCGCTCGGTTGATCGGATGGGATCATTTTTCGTTGTGTCCCGTTATTTATTTATTTTTCTTGGTTTGGGGGGGTTGGGGGGGTGCGCAGATACCTGGTGTTCCGCCCATACCTGCAGTGCGGCATGGGCAACCGTCTCAAGGGGTACCGAGGCGTGTTGGGCCTTGCCATGATGACGGACAGGGCGCTCCTGGTGGACTGGTACGGGGGCCTAGATTCGTCCCGGAGCGGGACAAAGCACAAGTTCGAAGGTAATGTAGATACATACTTCTTGCCGATTGTCTTGGTATTTTTTATTGCCAACACCATGCTTGATGAGCATGCTGTATCTCCATTTTACTTTTTTCACCCGCATATCGATTTTTTAGAGACACGTGCAATCGTATGGTGAAGTGAGTGGTAGTAATGGCCGGGGGCGGGAATGGGGCAATGGCCTTATGAGGACGAAGTCGTGATATAGATACAGCATTGCACCTTTGTGATACAAATGCAAAGAACGGCAATGCGTATTGCTCCTGTGGCGGTGACAACTCGTGTTGATCTTATGCCTGCCACCAACGAAACATAACACAGAGAGGTGTAGCTGGTACCCGGAACAGGTAGATCGACGAGAGTACGCGCGTTCAAGCGACCAAACAGACGAACGCGTGCATCACGTACGTTATGTACTGTGTGTAGATGGCTACACAGACGGACAACGGCAGGGTCATCGCTAGAACAAGTACCACCAAAATATTGAGTAAAGGCAGCTTTTTGAGCGGGATCGTCATCCAAGAAATTCCCGCTTGGGGGGGATTAGCTCAGGGGTAGAGTGTTCGCTTCGCATGCGAAATGTCGGGGGTTCAAATCCCCCATCCTCCACTTTTAGGTGGAATGTTATTTTGTTTTGTGGCTCAGCGTGCTGAGCTTTGCTCTCTTCTTCGGGCTCTTCCTGCCCTACGCCCCTTCTGGTCTTTCTGGCCTCGTTTTTCTGTGTAATACCGTATGTTGCCTTGACGAATCGCGGAACATTTAAACCGTTTTTTAGACATGTTTGAATGTTACGGTAGCTTTTTTTACCACGGAAACCCTGGTGTTTGAATGCTAGGGACGAAGAGGTGCTAGATGGAGGCCAGGGACAACGTCTAATGCGGAGATAATGAAACAACGCCATGCATCAACAGACGTAGTCAAATGCCGCCTAACTGGAAGCCCAGGACATTCAACCGATAATTCACCCTGTTCAAACGTGGATGATGGGGGTCGTCGTCAATGCCCATATGACCACCACAAGCAGCAGAGGACCCCCCCCCCCCACG